TTAAAATATCTATCATATAATCTGGAAGCTTTGGAATGATTACAAAGTCGGGCTTCTAAGAAAAAGAAGCCAAATCACAAAATCTTGTGAACTCGAGGTTAAAATAAAATAAGAAATAAAGAACAATATATGTTAATGTTTTAAATAGTGTTGCTTGTTTATCTGACAAGTGCATTTACATGCATTTGGAGTTTGTAAAACTGTCATTATGATGCATTATATTGCTTAGTTTATCTCTTTGTCTAAGAATTCATTTAAACTCTGGTCATTAAGATAAAGTAAAATATATTCAGCATAACACAGGGAAGGTTAAAAGATTTTGTGAACAAGTGAAAAGGGCATTTTCATCTCAATCGAAATGTGAACTTAGTGTTTTACACCCCTGAAAAAGAATATTTTATAGAATCGAAATTCGATTGCGTAATTCCTTGTTTTCCCTTTCCATATACAAGACGAAATGAATTGACCTTTAAACAAATGCGTTTGAACTAAATTAAATAGGAAATAACTAGTCTCGCTTTTTAGTGAAACATAATGTAAAGAATGACATTCTTTAAAAGATTGTAAATTGTTGATTTTGACATTTGCAGTTATTTGGTCTTCTTTAAATTGTCTCGACCGTTTAACATATTGCAGAATTTATCTCTTTTCTAAATTCTCATAAATAAAAAAGAAAGCTTAAGATAAAGAAGATAGATAGCTTTTATCAATTAAAAAATAAAGCATTTTCATTTAAAAAAAAGTAATTTATTTTTTAAGGACAAACTATATTTCTAATTAGGCTGATTTAAATGATTGTAGATGATAGATTTAAATAAATCATTTCTTAGTGAAGACACGGCTGAAATGGTATTTTAGAAACAGAACATTTGTTATTATACTGTAAATAATTTCTTTTGTTTTTCTGTTTTGCAAGACTAATTACAAGAGATCATCCAACAATATTTAAACTGACAGCTAGTACAGATACTATTTCGTTCTATATTATTAATCCGCTAAATTAAGGTTATTTTTCAAAGCCTGCATTTTTATACTGACATTACTTTTTATGTTTTTTTTTAAAAGTACTCATTGGAAATATAGTTGTTAGAACAATATAAATACAATTTATCCCTGTCGCATAGAAAAAATAATTGTTCATATCAAAGTAAAGTGTGCTATTATGTAAGCAAAATCATACCACATCAAATCCCCTAGGGTATAAAGACCTACTAGTCATCCGTTAAGGTATTAGCCCCCTAATAGGCACTATAAGGAACTATAAATTTGACAACATAGGTCAGTTATATACCTTAAAGGACACCTGTATGCAAAATTTAAACAAAGTTTACCGTATGGTTTTCGAGTTCTTGAGATTTTCCTTAACTTAAACTTGGCTATCACAAGGACTCTTTTTCAGAAATGAGAAACTCTAAATAATTTATAATAACATCATTATAAAAAACATTTTCCTGTTGAACATTGTTAAGAAACAAATAAAAGCATTCAGCTAACAAATAGCACATGTAAAACTATTGTTTCTACTCAAATTGTTATAAATATGCATGAAAATGTTGCCCTACCCCACTCATTTTAAATAATTGTTTGACCATTTCCCTACTTGGCGGGCCTTATTCAAAATATCTCTAAAATTGATCAAAATGAGGGGCTGTTTCCAAAGTTTGCAATATAGTTTTTTTTTAAAAAGTATATTGGTTGAGCTTGTCAAATATAAAATACTTTTACCGTCTAGTTCTTACTTTGTTAGATTTTAAAAATATCAGGTACCATATTTGATAATAAATTTGGCATAATTAAGCCAAATAGATACCGAATATAATTGTTCAATTAAAATGAAATACTTTTTTCTTACCAAGAGTGATCCGAGAAACACATAAATAATGTTTAAAAAAAGAAAGAAAAAAAAGTTGCCTCTTAAGTTAATGCATTAGGTGGGTCATACTCAATACTTTGTTAAGATAACTCAATTAGAGGTAAGGAATTCCAAATGAACATTGAAAATTATTTATTTTCATAACTTTAGTTATATGAAATTAACTAAATCAATAATTTAAAGTTTAAAAAAAAGAAGAGGAAAAAATGATTTGATGCACACAAATACAATCCTATCATATGAATTATTATTTCAATTATAACTATAAGTCAAATAAATACCATATAATACATTTCAGAGCAGAAAATATAAGTAAAATAAGTGTTAAACGTACCATACACTTAACTATAAGTGACCGATTTATGTGCTTTGAACAATGTACGACAAGAGTTAAAAAACCACTCTAGATAGATTATTTCTATATAAAAAAGAAAATACAATGAATTAGCACGGACATTGTTCTCGAATATACGAGATGAAAACCGCCAAACAACATTTTTTTTGTTAATATCAATTCATTAAATGTAGCTAACAGGTCTCCTGAACAAAATAGTTTGCTTGCTTGCATGTTCTGAAGTTTTCAAAATGAGATATTGTTCCTGTAAATTACATCATATTGAAAATTTTAATATAAGAAGCAAAGTAAAAATTTTATCACACAAATATAATAATGTTGTCGCAACGACACGAAATATCAAGCAAATGTACTATTTGTGGAAATTGTAAAACAATCGTTTTGACAGGTTCATTACCTTTCATTTAAATGAACTTAGAGGAATAATTAATACAGTAAATGTGTTGATGTTTGCTCCACAAACGGAACAAAAATGGCATTTAAACTGTTTGAAATATCCTCGAAAAAACAAATACTTGTATCAGGGGTTAGGGTTCAAATATCACAAATCATCGATATTGTAAACTAATTAAAATACTTAGTTACAAAATGTCATAGCCAGAAGGACACTGTGTTTGATATACGAGTAATAAATAACTAAACACTATTTGCATAATGCATACAGGAAACACCCACAATTTTCCAAAATACTTTATCGTTTTGATTTTAGTTTTAGATAACAAAGAATTGTAGAAAAGAAGAAAATAAACTAAAAAAAATATTGACTATTTAAAGTAATCGTTTATCGGGAGAATACCGTTGTCAAATTAGAATGTTTCTGCTGATATGTGAGAGCTAACACGCTCCAGAAGCTGACACAACAATTACAATTTAGCTCAGATATAAAAAATTTGCTCACTCTATCCTACGCTTGATTTGTGATGATTACCTTTTCGTTAGAGTATAACAGTAGGCAATTAACATCAATCTTTTCTTATAAAGAAATTGGGACTTTCACATTCATCAGTACTTTGTTGCAGAAATGACTTGATAAATTGTGTTCCTAAAGATTTCTGTCCGGAATTAGAAAAAATGTGTTTTTGAGACACATTATATACTAATAAATGTTGTAAGAAGTGTTCTTTTTAAACTTCACTTAAATGTTATTATATTTTTCTGATCCTTCGGGATCCATGGTTCCAGCACTTTTAAGTGTTGCAAATGGATTACCACTCAAGCCTGTTCTAGGGTGCATGAGGAATGTTGCAATTTTTCATTATTCCTCATGTACAGACTGAATAAAACCGAGTCTGCAATTTTCATGTAATATTGTTGTGATTAGTGCTTTAAAGGGTCTTTTCATTTTTAATGTTTTATTAATACTGCTTGACCAGTTTTAAAAAAAATATACATATTATATTTCATTGTCATTTATGAAATACCGGTTCATAATCTGGGCATTAACAAACATCAATGCCCCTGAACGTTGTAATTTCGAATCCCGCTGTGAACTTACTATAGATTCTTTCATGTATGGAAGTCGATGGTTCTACTCAGTTGCCCTATCGTGACCGAAATAATGCAAGGAAGGGTGCTTGAGGTCTCTACCACCATCAAAGCACTTGCTGTTACACATTTTTAGATGAGATGTTCATCTCATATGGGGTTTAGGTAGTTATAATAGTCATTGGCGGACAAGTTTTAATTGCAGTAATATTATCTTGAAACATTAGAGGCTTTACAATGTCTGTCTGCTTGAAATGTAGCTAGGTTAACGGTTATATTTGCCATTTATACAGACGCATTTCAGGGATTTCATCATCTCTCTATATATATATATATAATGTAATATGTGAAGATATTTTAACACTATGATGGTTCTGTGAAACTGTTGATAATATGATGTTTAGACGCCTCACTATCGTAACAAACAATAATCTGCATTTTCCAATTTAGATTTGAGATTGAAAATGATTCATGAAAAATCACCATGTTTATGTTGAGTTTATTTATTGTCCTTCATTTACAGACTCGATCAAACTTAGTCTGCAATTTTCATGTAATTTTGTTATGATTAATGTTTTCGATGGATTACTCGGTTTTCAGATTATAACGACACAACACTTAATAACAAATAGTATTAAGCATGAAAATATGTATAACAGATAAGGACTCAAATGAAATATCTAAGATTGTATTTCTAACGTGAAAAAAATAAAGAATTAGGATCATTGTGTGTATCTTATTGAAAATATTACATTATTAAAATACATTGTCTGATATGTTTATTTATTGATTATATACATTGTAAATGTTCATGTTAATGCTGATCGTTGAATTACGATAGGCGTAGTTTTGGATCATGCACTACCATGATTATGTAGCCACGTTGAAAATGTGGGTGCACATACATCAAAAATGTGTTAGAATTAGAGGCAATTAGGATAAGAAAGTGCGACGCCCATTTGACTGACGAATAACGTCGACATTGCCGGGCTATGTATGTTTAAGGTGTAAATTAAATGTTTGTAACTATTTCATGTTTTTTTCGTGTCTTGTGAAAACAAACTGTTGAATCGGTCTATCGGGCTATTCGAAGTAGTATAGTAATAGCCCTGGTACATGTAGTAGTACAATATACATATACAACATACATTTGAAAATCGTATTATTGAACATTTTATCAGTACTAAATAATACGGCAAATTGCAAATGTCGTAGGCTCGGTTTGAATGATCCTGTTCATGAACAATAGTAGTAATTGCAAGCTGATAAAGCAAAAATCAACATAAATTCTCTTTCACATCTTATCTATTTTTGTGTCAATGGAAGTTCTAAAATCAAGACAATACATAATTTCATGGAGAAAGTTGCCATCCGGAAAACGTCGGTTGAATGTTCTTGCCGCTGTAAGCTGTGCAACCGCGACCTTCTACACGTCTTATGAAAACATGATCCCCAGCGTTCACTCTGGCTAGAACAAGACCAGATGAGGGATTATACAAAAGTCTTTGACTAGACCCATCAGATATTGTCCATCCTTGAGTCGCCCCATTAACTACAATTTCAGTGACAGCATATTCAGCAGTATCAGCAACGAATGACCAAGTAAACACATATATTCCGGATTCTGGTACAATATATATCCCGTCATGCTCATTATAGCCATTTCCAATATCTAAAACTTCAGTGTCGTATTCAATTACTTGATGATCGTTGAAACATTTGCTCGAAGAAAGGTATATATGAAACGCAACCCTTCCTGATTGTAATAGTTCCCCTGAAATGAAGCATTTAAATATATCTATTTACCGACGTTTTTACTTCTAATTTACTAAGTTGTTGATAAGGAATACCTTACGGCATATTCTGTAAACGTTAATATATGATAAGCGTTTTTTTGACCGAAGACAACATGTTTTTTTTCATATTAAAAATTGTGTTTTCTTACACAAATTCTATTGTTACATATTTACATTAAAAAATAAAAACTGGAGCTGATGAAAAAAACTGTATGATCCGATCCTGCGGAAAACACAGTTGTTTAAATTATTATGTTAAAAACGCATTAAGATATTTGTGAAATATGATAACGGTGTACATAGTAAAATAAATATACATTCTATGTATTCAATTTGCTAAGGAATTAAGTCCAACATTTTAACATGCTTTACATTATGTTATTTACCAGAGTAGTTTTATTTGCTAAATAACTAAAGCCATCAAGCAACCTTCTGTTTTCGGCATAGAAACTTTCGTGGGGAAACAGCTATCTAGCCAGCTAATAGGATCTACAAAGTAACGTATATAATAGGTGTCTATCAAGACGTCATCATGTTTTCTCATTTAAACAGATGCCTGTCTTTTAACATTATTAACAATTTACACATAATTAAAGCATAACTTACTTTTAGAAAGACTTGCTATGACGTCCGAATTTTGATCGTTTTGAACATTTGGCGTTCCATGCCAATCCGATGTTTCCAATTTTCTACTTTTATTTATGCTGTCAACGGTTTCATGCATTGCTGCATTTATGTAACTTTCATAGCTCGGGTTGTTATGCATACCCTCGCCTTTGAGTCTCGAGACGTCAACTTCCAGTTCTTTTACGCGGCTTTTCAATTCTGTATTGTCATGATTCAATTCAAGATTTTCCTGTTTCAGTTCTATATTTGCTTGTTTCAATAAATCCATCTCGACTTGTTGTTTATCAACAATTATTTCAAGAATTTTCAAACGTTCTTCAAAAGAACTGCCATTAGCAAACAATATGCCAGAAATAAATAGAAATAAACGCAGCATAACGACCAAAGAGATGGAATAGGCACACTTAGGCGCTAAGTACATTTGAGAATGTGATAATGTTAAATGCATTTATATACATTTTTGCAAGGCTTATCTTGAGAACTATATAATGAACTAGTTTGTACTCACTTTTGATAAAACTAAAGGTAAGGATTGGTTTAAAGTCACCAAGTGTTTAAGTTATGTGTAACCGTGTCAAAAATGCTGAATCTTATCTTTAGTTTCAAATTCAATTTCTTTTCAAAGCTTTGTTATTTAAAAAGAACCCAACATAATTAGCAAACACAATGTAACACATGTTTACACATGTAGGAATATCACATATAAATGACGTGTTATCTTACACAAGAAATGTGAACGTAGAACATGGAAACATGGATTTTACTGTACTAACAACATGTTATGTAAAAGTTCAATTGACAAATTATACACTGTTTCATCAATTTGAAATGTACGTCTACATAGTTACATTTAAATTATCAGTTAAAAAGATAATAATGGTTATACAATGTAAAAATACTACATTGATGGTTGTGTTTGTTTATAGTTTTGTCATTCATTTATAGATTTTTTAAAAAATAATTGGGCCAATATGAAAAAAGAATTATTTTTATAGCAACAATGCCGTTGAATCAAGTCCTTTACTTAACCCTGATTGGAGCATTTGTATGAATAGAATTTGGTAGAATTTGTCAGTTTGTTTTGAACAATACTTTCAAAGTTTCAAAGTTTATTTCAGGACTTAATTCATGTACACACATGACAATATGAGCTATAGAATATAAACGTACATTACATAAAGAGGCATAGCATACACATGAAAATAATCATATTAATACAATTCATCTTAACAAAATGGCGATAAACACGAATTTTCAAGGGCATGATGAACACGTATGTAGAAATGTTATCTATTCTCAAATTTTGTGATTATTTCCATAACAAATAAACGAAAATTTCTGTATTCATGTATTCATAACAATGAGTTATATTCATATTCATAATTATAGATTTTAAAGTTTATATATTTGGATGGCTTAAACACTTTCGAAATGTGCTGGAAAAAATTTTAATAGTAAACTTTATTGATAACTTGTACACTTCAGCATTATTCTTAAATTGCACTTATACTTCCTGATGCGCTCTATTCAATGCTTAACATAGATACGCTCTGAATAATCAGATGGAAGCTTCTTAAATGTTTAAATGTCCATGTCTTATGTCGGGTTAATCTAGAATATGATTCGAATGCAGATAAAAGTTACCCTACTTACTATTAGTGATTTGTCATTTATACAGCCAGGCGCAAACATTACATTCACACTTATGAAAGGCTTTAACGTAAGCTGTCTCGGAAATAAATTCAAAGTGCCTCCCAGGACTTTTGTTATATTTTAGACATACTCTCACTATAAAGATTTTATAAAAAAAATTATCTTAATACGACGCAACGAATTATATCGCAGTAACAGCGTTACATATATACACATTTGAGTGAAAATACCATTGGTTAGATAGAAAAATGATATATTAAAGTGTCTAAGTGAAACTCTGTTTATTCTGAACTGTCATTTCATCTGACAATTGTCTTTATCTGCTTTGTGTTATATAGCTTTGAGTGTCGAGGGAAATAATTTAATACAGTTCTCATCAATAAAATAAAATAAAATAAAAGGCGGATATCTTGATATGTGACAGAAGAATTAAATAGTTGAGACCGGGTGATTTAAGATAAAAATACTTGTCTTCTTTTATTTTAATAATGTTGAAGTGTCAATTTACATTTTATACAATGTATTTTGTTTTATCTCGCCAGAAGTCGTTTCCCTAGATTTGAACCTTTATTTTCTAGACAAACGTTATCCATTTCCCAATTGAGTTTGTGTTCATGTTTTTACATCTTATGTAATAAATTTGAAATTGTTACATGCTCTATACTTTGCCTATCTTTAAATTTCAAAATATTGTTTAAAAAGATACGAAGTTGTAAGATACAGCATCGACTGCTGTAACCATCTTCCTCAGATGGGTGCCATATACATTGGACGTTTCGGTCCTTCCCACAACGCCCTTCTATGGTGCGCCGACTAGAGAGATATCAAGCTCTAGCCAGGCGATGGTAGGCTTGAGCTATCTTTGCTTCATCTGTCTTGAAGCGGGTACTGCCTAACTATTGGTATTTCGACCCGCCATCCATGTCTCTTCTTTCTTGCGCCAGATCCACAATGAGGCTGACAGTTAATGACAAATTACCAAACCTCTTCTAAAAGTACGTTAAAAGATTGCACTATAATATGCTTTACTCGGTTGACATGCTCACGATTTGTAACGAGTTGTATCTATTGTGGATGTAGGTAGCTAAAAATTGCAAGCTTAAAAGCTATGAATGATTATTTACTAAGGATTGATTTGGATATTTTTTACGAAAATTTTCAAATATTGGCAATGTCAAGCTTCTATTTTTCTAAAAAAAGTGTTCAAATTATTGTTTAAATGTAAAGAAGTTGTAAGATACAGCATCGACTGCTGCTACCATCTCCTTCCTCAGGTGGGTGCCATATTCATTGGGCTTTTCGGCGCTTCTAACTACGCACTCCTATGGTGCGCCGACTAGAGTGATATCAAGTTCTAGCTAAGAGATGGTACGCTTGAGCTATCCCTGCTTCATCTGTCTTTAAGCGGGTACTGCCTAACTACTGGTCTGTCGACCCTCCATCCATGGGTCTTCTTTCTTGCGCCAGATACACATTTGGGCTGACAGTTAATGACAAATTTCCAAACCTCTTCTTACACTATAATTTTGCTTCAATCGGTTGACATGCTCACGGTTTGTAACGACTTTTGTATCATTGGCGGATGTAGGTAGCTAAAAATCGCAAGCTTAAAAGCTACGAATGATAATTTATCAAGGATTGATTTACATAATTTTTACGAAAATTTCTAATATTGGCAATGTCAAGCTTCTGTAGCAACTTTTTGAAAACCAGATCCTCATTTTTCTAAAAGAAGTGTTCATGATTGAACAGACAAGATGAACATGAACATTTATACAGTTTCTTACCAATAATGAATTGGAAATCATTTCAGTAGGATGCAAGTACAAATCATTTAAAGTTTTCTTAATTTTGAATAAAAATCCCTTCTAATGTCCAAGCGTTAGTTTTTGAAAAATGTCTCCTCTAAGTCCACAACCGTACAGTGATAAAAGTTTCCATACATGTGTAACACATGCAACTTAACTAAATTGTCATGTTGACACTCATAACTTCTTTTCGTAATTATTATTGCTTTCTTCACTGCTTTCATCTCGTTCAAACTTTATCATGACACTATGTACACCTTGATTTCCGCAAAAATCAGCCGCATACATAAAATTTCCTGTCATATTTACACTATAACTTTTTCTTCACTATTACTGCTTTTTTTCACTGCTTTCATCTTGTTCATCATAACAGATGTAATTGTTGTTCGGCACACTATTATGACCATTATCATTAAAGATTATAAATCTATATCTTATGAAATATTTTTGTAGAATTTATCAACAGTAAAATTATATTGGTTTCCTTATTATATGGTTGATTCCCGAAAAAGGTGTAACATAGAATCTTTCTATTATTTAACACTCATGAATAATGTACATAAACAGAAAAAAATGTTCCGGAACACAATATTATTTGGCTATTTCAAGTAGGGGTTAATCCGGTTAGCAATAACTGCATGCATGCGCCACTCGCTTTTATTGCCATTCTTATTTCATACAAGCATTTTGGAGGTATTCTTTTTTTAAAAATTTAAACAACAAATTTCGCATCAGATAAATAGCTTAATACACTTTTAATTTTGAGATTTAGACTTTTTTCTGTAGAATGGAATTCATTAAATATTATTTATATTTATATATCATGTACTGAAAAGCAATGTTTAGGATATAAGAAATTATTATGAATCAAGAAAGATAAATAATTGGTATAAATTATGTTGTTTCTTTTTGGAAGATAAATACAATTTCTATATGAAACAATACGTTGAGAAGAGCAGCAAGCTGTATCAGAAACTAAACCTGTAATGCTGAAAATATATAATGGGCATGGCTTCCATTCTAACTTGGAACTTGGAATATAATTACTTTGGTACAAACCCTTTTCTTCTATAAGTATTCTTAATCCATTTGGGCTTTTTCGAAAGCCAGACAATAATATGATTATTCATGTTTTTAGAGTATAATTAAGTGTATGTATAACCAGATCAAACACAACAGTTTCTGATATTATCATCCCGCCGTAGGCATCATTTACAATTGACAAACAGGCAATAACAAAACAATGTAACATTAAAGTTTCAAAATGAAAGTTGTTAAAGCAGTCGAATAAACCATTAGAATATGGAATGCTTTAAATACTGCACTGATTGACAAATAATTTTTGTAGGCATCAACTAATATAAGCTCTGGTATATTTTAATACAACGATGAAAGCTAACGTGACAGGGAAGGAGATATAATGATATTTCATCCGAGCCTAAACTTAAGTTATTTAGTTGAACGTGTCCTAAAAAGAGATAATAATATTACAAACATTAACAAGATAGATCTGGGCGTGCTAAGTCATACGAAAGATATATTATGCGAAGTTCTAAGATAGCTCTTATTTAATAGTAAACAGATAAACCCTGTTAAGACAATCGGTTGAATAAATTTGTGTTTGAGAACTTTTGATGTATGTTATAAGCTAGATTTGTCAGCAAATATCAGCGTGGAGCTTTCAGGTTTTATTTCTCTCTGCATCTTTATGAATAAATGACAGAATGCTGTAGTCACTGGAAACTTAAAATTTTAATTCGACTTGATACAACCGTACTTTGTTAGTCTTTATTGAAATATCACGGGCAGAGATAATTGCCCTTTATCTGGTATAAAACTATTCTGATGTGCTTATAGTATAGGAAAATAGAGAAAATAAGAAAAGAAAAAGATATCAAATGATTATTCAGAAACTAATATTAAATAGGTATTAAATAATGGTTATTGTTTTGAAATTCTAAACAATACGTTCAATTAAA